TGAGCATGTCTGCTTCTTCCAAAATTGTGAAATTCATGGCCCCAGGGTAATAAACTAACTAAGTATATAGTTATGATGAGCAAGAGTGTCTCTTCCAAAGTTTTGAATTTCATGGCCCCTGGGACAGGGTTCTGGTGTTAGGGCGGGGCTCTTTAATTATGTAGTGAAAATACATTTATTCTGTTAAATAATCCTGTCTTATCCTTAGTGTTGAGCAGATAAACAAAGTGCATAGTGCTTCTTACATTTTTTTTAAAACTTTGTGGTCCAAGGGTGAGGGGCTTTTGTGTTTCTCATTGGGGGGGGGGGTCTATTGATAATATAGTGAAAATGTATTAATTCTTTAAAAATCTTCAACTAAGTGCAGAGTTATGATGATGAGGGTACCTCTTCCAAATCTGTGAAATTCATGATCCTGGGTCATGGGATTTGGCTTAGGTAGGGCTGAGTTGAATATGTAGTCATGGTACATGTAGTAAAAATGCATTATTTCTTTGAAAATCTTCTCTGCTCCTTGGCATATCAAAGGCAAACGAAGTAAAAGTTTTAATAAGCAAGGATATTTTTACCAAATTGTTAAACATCTGGACCATTTGGGCAAGTGTTCTGGTCCTGGCCGGGGTTCTATTGATTTGTATTCTTCTGAGAGAAGTTATTCCCCTTTGCAATTCACTTTTGATAATTAATCACTGCAAATAATGTATTTGAAAAGTTAATAGAATAAGAGAATTGTGCAAAAAAAAAAAAAAAAATATTGTATAATACAAAAACTAATAGACTTGAAAATAATAGAATAATAAAACTGAGACAAAAATAACTTATTAAAATGTTCTTCAAAGACCAAGAGAAGCCAATGTGAGAGATTACAATTTGGGGTTAAAAATAGTACAGAATTACCAATAGTTTGTTAACAGTCTGCATGGTGATAGTGATAAATTGGGGACAGATTAGAACTTAATTTTAATATGAGTTGTTATTAAATATTAGATTAATTCATTCATTGATCCTGATTATCCTATTTCTCTTGCTTTTGGGCAACAAAGCTTCATCTACCAGTTTATTTTATATTCTATGGATCCTCTAAGTTGTTGTATTATACTCAGGTGACCGTTAAGGCCCTTGGGCCTCTTGTTCTCTTTAGATCCACATCACCATGATACAAATGTATTTGAAAAAAAAAATAATATAATCCCACTTTTACTAGCTGAAGTCTTCATAGGTGGAATATAATTCTGTTGAGATGCTGACAAGACTCCATTCTTTATGAATGGATTGAAATATATTTGAGATTTAATTTTTCTCCCGATACATTTGTGATTTTTTAATTCATGAAAGATATTCAAAATTCGAAATTCTTTTACGCTGATAAAATATTTTTGCCATTTTGTCACGAAATTCTAATAAATATGCTAGTTTAGAATTGGACATAAAATTAACACAGACACGCTGTCACGGGATATCAAGTAGCACTATTTCACACCAATCTGTGCAAAAAATGTATTTTACATGTTTTGCAATTTAATTGCATAAAATCCACCCAAAGGAGTTATTTGTAATTGTATAGTACACAGGTATTCTATGTGCTGCAAAGTGTATTTATATTGTACGTATACACAGGTAATACTATGTGCAGCAGAGTGTATCTGTATAGTACACTGCTATTCTATATACTGGTATTCTATGAGCTTCAGAGAATATTTGTAGTTTTATAATACACTAATTATTCTATGTGCTGCAGAATGTTTTATATTTAATAGTACACTGGCATTGCATGTGCTCCAGGGTGTATTTGTTTACTACACTGGTAATCAATACGCGTGTGCTGCAGAGTGTATTTGTTTATATAGTATAATAATATTGTGTGTGCTTCAGAGTGTGTTTTTAACTGTATAGTACACTGGTTTTCTATGTGCTGCAGAGTGTATTTGTATAGGATACTGATATTGTATGTGCTTCAGAGTGTTTTTTAACTGTATAGTACACTGGTTTTCTATGTGCTGCAGAGTGTATTTGTATAGTATACTGATATTGTATGTGCTTCAGTGTGTTTTTTAACTGTATAGTACACTGATTTTCTATGTGCTGCAGAGTGTATTTGTAATAATATAGGACACTGGTAATCGTAAGTGCTGAAAAGTATCTTAACCTTTCCGTAGACAACTATTTCTTCTGTTATTTTTCTAATGTTGATCAAGAGCTCTCTTGTATGCTGCTTTAGAAATAATTCTGCTATTTCATGCCCAATGGGTCAGGTGGGGGAACAATTAGTTCCTTAACAGTCGTTTATCAATTAAGAGCTGGGCTCTTATTTTAAATAGATTGCTCTTATGTATAGTCAAATCATTGAAATTATGAGAGTAATTTTATAAAAATATTTAATTAACCTTACTCTTTCTGCCTTCTCACCGCATACAATAAAGAGTTTCTAGTAATAAAAAATCATTCAAGCTACGTTTTAGTCCCCTATCGGTGAAACCGGAGGGGACTATAAGTTTTTTCAATAGAAGTTGAAGGAGAAAAATCAACATTCTAGAAAATACACTGACAGATAAATGAGATTTGATCGGTGTTAAAACGACAAAACTGCTTTGTGTGGTAACTATTGATCACACAGAAAATTTATATCCCAGTCTATAACGTATATGACCTATACTCCTGGAGTCATGTAAAGTGAAATGCTATTAAGGGGTAACTGAAAATGTTACAATGACATCTCATGCTGAAACGTCTGCCTTTTAAAGACATAACCAAAGCAAGATCAAATAAGATCAAATTAGCGACTTGAACTTACCCCCCCCCCTTTTCTTAAAAAAAACCCCTTAAAACTTTAAAAATATACATCTTATATAAAACAAAAAGTGAACACTGTCACCATTGTTGTAAATAGCTTTATATTTACATCCACTGAAGCCTTTATTCTTATTTTTTTTTTAATGAAAGCCATCTCTTTCACCAATCAGTAAATACCGGTAATTAGCTTAAACCGTTTTTTCAAGCCATCTGTAAAGATTTCTTAATATATACAGTGTATTTTTCAGGCAATGAAACATCAATAATGCAATATTTAAATATCTAAACCTACTTAATATGTGATTAAATATTAACAATAAAATGTTGGTTTTTTTGTTTGTTTGTTTGCTAGTACGTAAATTGCGGTTGCAGCTATTGCAGAGAAAATAAACAAGAGGCCCATGTGCCACAACGCTCACCTGAGTCAATATCGCCCTGCTGTTTTTTCTATGGTATATTTCTATGTAAAACTTGCATCCTTATTGTGACCCAATCCTACTCCCAGGTGTCATGATTTTATTATAGATGTAACCCCATCCAACCTCTCACGGTCATGATTTGAACAAAATTGAATCTACATTATCTTACATGTATGATACTTCCATATCAATGTGACTACACGTGGTTTTGCTTTTCTGCAGATTTACATTCCCTTTACATCCATATGTTAAACTCTAATAATGTATTTATCTCAACCCACCCCCGGGGGTCATAGTTTGAACAAATTTGGATCTACACTTCCTTGGGATGTTTCCATATCAATATAACTAAACATGGCTTTGCTTTTTATGAGCGAAGGGGGTCATGATTTGAACAAATTTGAATCTATATTATGTAAAGTAGGTTTATTTTAAGTTTCATTTTTTTACTCAGTGGTTCTTGAGAAGAAAACTTGTAAAGATACCACCAAATTTTCACTAATTCTTAATTATCTTCCCTTGAAAGAGGGTATTGCCCTTTATTTGAACAAACTTGAATTTCCCTCACCCAAGGATACTCTGCGCCCTGCGCCAATTTTGGTTGAAACTGGTCAGTGGTTCTGGAGAAAAAGATGAAAACGTGAAAAGTTTACAACGACGGCGATAATGTCGACAACAGACAACGGACAAATTTTTATCAGAAAAGTTTACTTGAGCTTTTGGCTCAGGTGAGCTAAAAATACATAAACCGCATAAGCGGGTTATGTATTTTTCTGCAATAGCTGCAACATTAATCCCCATACTAACAAAAAGAAAGCATTTTATTGTTTAAGCAGAAGTCGAAGTTCGTGACCGAAGTGTGTGCCACATAAATGCGAATGTAACAAATGTGAATGTTTCCCAATATTCAAGCAAAATAATCATTTATGGTTCTTAAAATACCTCTAATTGCACAGAAATCTATAATGCATCATATTTGACTCGCATAAAAAGGGGGCCTTTGTCTTATGCCATAGTAACCGTGCTTTCACATGTTTTATGATCCGTTGATGGTGCAATTAGTACTTTTCAGCTTCTTTAGAATCATTCCTTGAAGCTTTGTGCAAAATGGAATGATTACTATTCAATGTGTATCGATTCTTTGTGTGGTTTGTCCTGAGACTTCCAAACGCATATCAGATTTGTTGCACTATCAAACTTCATCAGTAGTAATGGTATTGAACTCCGGAATGACCTATCTTGAAGTTCAGGTTCCGCTAGCATCCCAAGTTATGATATAATAACTTTATGAAAAAGAAATGTGTAACTCTTCTGGGATTGGCGGTCTTCTAATTGGGAGGAAGGCGCACAGAATTTCAAAGTAATTGAAGATGCAGATGTTGTCACTTTAATAAGGTTAATTGACTTTTCTGCTTTTGAGCTACAAAACGTCACTCGATACTCAGAAGGTGTTTTCAAAGTACAAGGAAAAGCCAAAGACATTATATGTGGACAAATCGAAGATGTTTGACGAGATTTCGTCTTGTTTTTGTCCAGTTGTATCGGAAGGGCGGTTGTCGATAGTTCATCAGGAATTTGAGGCTGTATTATTTGAATGACAATCAACAATTCGTGTTCTTTAAGGACGAGGGGAAAATATCAAATGCATACTGGCAAAACAAAATCAGACGAATTGCAGATTTGAATTGAATGGTATATGTATTAAGAAATTATTTACGGATTAATCCACCATCCTCCAGATGATTTTGCATTTAACTGTTTAGATACATTTACCGAAGGTTTGTTTTCTTACGATGGAATAAATTCAGAATTTTCGGAAAATCGACATTCTTGTATATGTGTGAGTAGCATAGCAGATTGGAAGCTGTAGATAAGTCTTTGAAATCATGAACTACTCTTTGAAACGGGAATACTTGGAAAAATGGATGTCCTTGATTGATAAACATCCCTTATCGCGAGGAATCCACGAAGAAATATTGAAGGTATGATTTACAGCCTTGTAAGTATTTAGACAGTTTTAGAATTATAGCTCGCATTAATGAGCAAATTCAGATCTGTATAGTTTTCACATGTGATGTTTGTGGAGATAATCAGGAATCGCAGCTGTTGAAATATATCTGTATCACATTGTACAGTAAGAAAGGGGAAAGAAAGGCTAATGCCCAAATGAAATAGGTAAAAATATTCCGTGAAAAGTGAATTGTGAGTTTAGCAAAGCCACGTCTGCCCCAAAACAGTCGCAATCGCAATTTCAATGCGATTTTTTTTTTATCACAAGTGTAAATCGTATTTTGTGTTTCATTGTTTGTCGTTAAATTATCTGTACTTTGAAAGGTACGTTTATAAGTTTTGGAAAGCAGGTATATAGAATTTAGTATTGACCTGTTTGTATAGAGCAAATTTGCAAGAGAACCACACATTTTACTCACTTAAAGTCCGTGAAGTATTAAGAATTCGTTTAATTGCTTACCTGGAAATACAAAACAAACATTTGCGTTAGGGTTATTTTCCGATGAAAGAAGAAAGGGTGATGAAAGTTTCAATAAGGCTTTAAGTTTTGTATTGGTCTACTTTGCTTTAAAAGCATACAGTATCTCTTTTAATTATAACTCAGTACAAAATATCATTAATGTCATGGATGCAAATTTAAAAAAATAGAAAACTAAATCAAACTACTTAAGAGCTTTGTAATCTTGATTATGTAGAAAAATCGCCGATGTTTATTATTTAATCAAAAACCATCTCATAAAACACAGCAGTTCACCATGGCAAAATGTGATTGAGATACACGTGTATTAGGTGCTCTTTCTTGTTATATTGCTTCCTGGAAGAATTGTTATGTAACAGCAGTCAGATGTGCAGTGAGTTTATTATGTTAAACCGTTAAAATGCCAATTTTCTTTCAAAAATCAATAAGCATACTGTTTTGACATAAATGAAAATAATATCTTTCAGTCTAAGATAATAAATATGTGCTGTTTTTCACAATCCATATGCTTCGAATCAATTTCTTTTCTCTCATAGATCAAGTTCATTTAAAAAAAAAAGATTTTATAATTAATGCATGTTCTGTAACAGCCTGCGATATAACTGCAGGATAAATAAAAATTGATCGCAGTTGTAGATATTTAAAATAACTTGAATCATTTCGTATACGATATTCAAATATGACGGTAGTGCAGAAGTAACTCGGAACAGAAATATTCATATTTCAGTTTCTTGGGGGAAAAAATTAATATTAAGAAACCACGATCTTCTCTCTGTCGGGTGTTCAGATCATTCACATATCAATAACAAATACAGACACCTCTTGTCAATGAAAAAATCATTTTCTGATTTGGAACTCTATTCTGCATCTGCATTTCAAACCCTTGAAATGAGACGAGAAAGAATGAACAAAACCAAGAAAAAAAACCTTTTATTCATTGCTAAGACAAGTATTGATTGCTTCCATTTTTCTTTAATGTCTTGAAATATACCGGAAGTAGATACCGGAAGAAACTACACACTCAAACAACAACTGCATGGTAGTTACTTGCGTCACGCATTATTTATAATGTTCTTAGAGGACCATTAAATTAGAAGAGTAAATAATGAAAATCAATTGATGAATTAAATTCAAATCTATTGAGGGAACAGTTACTTGATATTTAAACCGTATACACTTTTCTGCTGCCAAGTTTCACTTTCTCTTTACATTAATGCCCGTTAGATTTTTCAATTACTGAATATTACAATTTTTTATGACTATTTTTTCTTTCACAATAAAACTCCAAATTGGAAAACTTTGTTTGTTTTGAAGGAAAGGCTACCCATCCCCCATTTTTACTTGTAAATGAATTAACAATTTTTCTTAAGTCCCAAGCTGCCTTATGTATCGATATTAGATATATATATATATATATATATATATATATATATATATATATATATATATATATATATATATATATATATATATATATATATTGTTCTTGTCCCTTTCAAACTATTTACCCCCAAAATTATTATAATTTATTAGTATATACATTTGATTTAATGACACACAAATAACACAAGACACTAAGATACTAAACATCAAGGTCATTGAGACCCTGAAGATGCTGATTTTAGAGTCAAAATCAGCAAGCATTTCATGGAAATTCATATATTTTTTAAAGGCTTTTCGTATATTGTTGATAGTGCACAAACACAATTGCAATTAAAACACAATTAAAAAATGATTTCGGACACATTAATGGACTTGTATCCAAAGAAATCCTTTTCCTTAGCTACGGGTTCATAAATCCTTATGAAAATCAATGATTTTTTTTTACCATTTTTCCGGGAATTTGTTTCCTGAACGTGATAAGATATTTTTGGTATTTTGATTAGCTGATTTATTTTAAGAATGAATTTCCGTATTCTCCAAAAATAAAAGGAAATTTTCTGTGGTGAAATTGCCATGACAACGGGAAAAGACCACAATCTGATATCAATACTTATAAATTTTGAAAAATTACAAACATGTATATCACTATATACCATCGGTGGAGAAATGGATGCTAAGTGGGTTTATTTTAGGTCATCTATATGTCATATCTGTAAAATAAAATTGACAAGCAACTTTAGTAGAAAAAATGTTATAAATTTAAAGGTCAAACTGTGTGTCGAACTTGCAATTTTAAAGTTTTTTAGAAGGGTTGAGGGTAAATTGAATACATATACAGTGTCCATTATTATGGTTCTGATCAAATCTTGATCATATCTTTTCTATTGTTGAGCAAGAAATGCACATTCAAATTGTATTTTATATCCCCCGCAAACGAAAACTGGAAAAAAGGGGGGGGGGGGAGGTTATAGTTATCACCATGTCATCCGTCCATCCATATGTCAGTACAATCTTGTCTTGTCCATAACATAACATGTCCAAAACAGCGATTGAAAGTTCATACTTGACAGTAAAATTGTCGATATTCTAGTAAAATAGTACAACAAGCACCCTGTCTATAACTTTAAATGAAGGGATTTTTAAAATGTTCAGTCTATAGATGAACGTTTGGTTTGTCATGACCTTGACCAAAGATCAATCGGGCACGTTTGAGGTCACTGTCAGAAAATATTTAACGGAGAGCCAAGGGAAGTTAATTCGTTATACAAAGTTGATTTTTCAGAGAATGTGCCAAAGCCTTGATTCAAGGACATTTAATATGTTAAAGGTCACTGCAGAAAAAGTGTACAATTTGTTCGTTACTTAACTTTCTGATGATAAGACGCTGGACGTTTGCGCTTAACACAAAGATAACATACGTCATGAGTGTGTCAGTCATTTGTGCAGGTTAATGGGCACTGGCAGAAAAGGTCTTAAATTTGTGTCTGGACTATATTTTTGTAATAAAAAATATATTTTGTGTAATAATGTAAAGAATGTGCTGCAGAAGTAAGGGTATAGTTTTCACATATAATATTTGTAGAGATAATCAGGAGTCGCAGCTGTACCTCTAGTTTGTTCAGATATGATGTGTTTAAAATAATTTCAATGTCAAAGAACCAGAGAACATGGACGCAAGGGTAAACACCAATTGAAATATTTTATAATATATCACATGACCACGTACACGTAATGCCTTTCATGAATATATCGAGTCGACATATGAAAGGAAGTAACTATAATAATTGTTAATTGATAATACGTCGTCGATAATCTAAATGTCGAGCTGAAGGCCACAGAAATTGTTTTCTTTTTCTCATGTAGAAGTTAAAAAAAAACCTGATTTGATCATTTCATCATTATTTTCGGAAAATGAATTAAATTTTATAGACGTTTTTATCTTTGATAGCAGAGGAAATGTATTATATGGAACTCTCTTTTAAAATTGTTCATGTTCGTGGATCTGGAATGCATGTTCCTTATAGAGGTATTATTATATTTCTTTTTGGAAATTCCTTTAAAATCTTCATGACTGATTGCTCATAGTAGAAAACCGTTTATTTGATCAACGAACCGACCAACATTGGGAAATTCATGATCCTTGCCCCTTGTGTTTCACATCAGAGTTTTGCTTGGTAGTTTCTTAACTTCTAGGTATATAGAGATGAATAGGGCTTTCACGAAAATTTATAGGTCATGTCTTCTAAGTACAGTTTTGAGACCCCAAGTCTTGAACATGACAGCAAGGAAGTCTCAATTACCCTTTCTGAAAAGTTTCTGCTTCATGTTCTATAAACCGCTCAGTCTCATTGGCTTAATTTGTTAATTACACAATATTTCAAGTTCAACTCTAATTCTGACACAGTGCAACTTATTGAAATGTGTATGAATTTAACTGGAATCTTGCAACATTGGGATAACCCAACGACAAAAACAACCATCTCCTTTTCTTATTCTTAAACTCCTAAACTTATTCCTTATTTTTATATAAATGTTACAAAGGTTCAAGGGGATACGTTTTTATTGAATACCATTAAAAGTAATTCCTCTTTTGCCTTTAGATCCTTGGCTTGTATCTTAAGGAACTCTAATTATCTTTTGCTCTTTTAGACAAAGAGTTCAGTCTGTCGTGCCATATTATATAGTGGAATCAGTACAATTGATCAGATCTATTGTTATTTTCCAGTAAGAGATTTTAATAATAGTTTGTTGAGGAATTAACAAGTTTATGTTTTGTTGGAGGATTCCAATAATCTTGGCTAATGTAGGATAACAAGTAATTTCCTTACTGCTAAGTCCCTCCGGCGCGCAGTTAATTTGACCTTTGTGTATTCGTTAATATAGATAGGTTTATCGATGGAAAAGAATAGACGCATAGGAAAACACGTCCACTTAGGTTAGGAAATTTTCATTGCTTTCTCACATGAGCTTTAGATTGACAAGTCCAGCATCACTCATGTACAAATGACATTGGCATTATGTTTGCTATTTTATAGGTTTTTTTTCTTGCAAGAGCATCTTCTATAAAGGCGAAGTCTTAATTAGAACATGGGCATCGAACGACTAATAATA